ATGTCAATCTGCCGCTGGGGTGAGCGAGTCCATGAACAACATCAAAAATTCTCTTGCGTAAGAGTTTAGGAACATATGGACGAATTAATTCCGAAGAGCAATCACAATAAATAGGTATGGTTGATCCTGAAAGAATAAGTTTCTTCAACAGAAGTGAAGAATTTGAAGAAAGTAAAACTTGAAGTTCTTCATCTTCTTTCTGATAATTAGCAAGTTCTTCTAAAGAAACTATAATAGGCATTGAAATAGATTCAATTCTTGACAGAGCATCAGCAACTGAATTCATTTTTCCAGAAATATAGGTAATATTTGTAGAGAATTGAGCAATAAAGTCCAATTGTCTGATCTGTCTTGGTGACGCTTTATCCAATTTCTGACGGAAAGCAAAAATCAAAGGTTTATGATCAGTTCTGATAATCAGTTGTCTTCCTTCAACAAAATGCCTGAAATGTTTAATAGCCAAATAAATGCTAAGAAGTTCTCTATCATAAGTGCTATAATTTCTTTGAGCTTTGTCTAGTTTCTTTGAGAAAAATGCTATTGGTTTGATATCGTCGTCAATAGACTGTTCAAGTGATGCACCAACAGCAAAGTCAGAAGCATCACAAGTTAAAATAAGAGGAGCATGAGGAGCAGGATGAGAAAGGGTAGTAACTTGTAAAAGTTCTTCTTTACATGACTCGAAAGCTAATTCCGCTTCTTTAGTCCAAGAAATAATTCTTCTATCCCTCTTGCGACTGTCCTTTAAATATTCTGTTAACAGAGCTTGATGATTTGCAGCATCCTTGAGACAGCGACGATAATAATTGATAATTCCTAAGAATCTGCGTAATTCATGAAGTGTCTTAGGTTTAGGATAATCAATAATTGATTTCACTTTTTCGGATGTAGGTTTAACTCCTTGGTTAGAAACTAAGTAACCAAGAAAAGAAATCTCGCTTTGACCGAAAAGACATTTAGCGACATTGATTGTCATTCCAGCTTGTTGAAGACGATCAAAAATAATGCGTAAGTGAGCAATATGTTCTTTCTCATCTTTAGAAGCAATAAGAATGTCATCAAGATAACAAAAGGCAAAACTCAAATCATTAAGTAAAGAGTTCATGAGCCGTTGAAAAGTTTGGGCTGCGTTTCGTAAACCGAAAGGCATTACGACAAATTCAAAAAGCCCAAATGGAGTAGTGACAGCTGTTTTGTGAATATCTTCTTTAGCGACGGGTACTTGATAGTACGCTTTAACTAAGTCGATTTTAGAAAAGATATTCTTACCAAAAAGTGAAGAAGAAAAATCTTGAATATGAGGTAAGGGATAACGATCCGGGATAGTCACTGAATTGAGTGCACGATAATCACCACACAGTCTCCAAGAATTTTGTTCCTTTTTAGGTACCATATGTAGAGGGGCTGCCCAGGAGCTGCTTGAAGGCCTGCAAATTCCTTGCTCCATCATAGACTTGAATTCTTCCTTGGCACATTTAAGTTTCTCAGGAGTAAGTCTTCTGGGAGTCGAAAATTTAGGAGAACCTTCCGTAACGATATGATGTTCAACACCATGTGTTTTTACCGAGGAAATTGGAGAAAAACGGGTGAGTCCTGGAAATTCGGTTAAAAATTTGTGGTACACAGAATCAGGAGATGTGGTAAAAATTGACAAATGCGCAATTTCTTGAATTTTTCCAGTATTCATAAGACCGGTAACATTATCAATCAATTTCTTGTTTTTAATGTCAATTAGGAGATTAAAATGACAAAGGAAATCGGCGCCTAAAATAGGACGTTGAATATCCGCGACACAAAATTTCCATTTGAATTCTCTCCTTAAACCGAGGTTCAAAATTAAAGTTTTAGAACCGTAAGTATTAATTTGAGTACCATTTGCGGCAAAAAGTTTTAAATTAGTATGCCACGGCTTCAATAAAACCTTTTTAGGTAACAACGATATATCAGCGCCCGTATCGACAAGAAAATTCAAATTTGAATGTCTGTCGAAAATAATGAGGCGATTGTTAGAAACACCGTCGTAAGCAGCCTCAGTCTTAAGCGGCGTTTTTAGTTTTCCTGTGAAGCCAAGAATGTTTTGGACATAGAACAAGGTAAAGTACATCGTTTAGCCTTATCACCAAACTTCTTATGGTAAAAACAAATTGATGTATCTTTAATATCTTTATTTGATTTGTCTTTGTTACGCGATAACGATCTAAATCTTCTATTCTCTCTAGACCGGCTTTTGGAACGATCTCGACGACGAGAAACTTCAAGAGCTTCGATTCTTCGTAGCAAATCCGCGAAATCCGAAGATTTATTATTTGCATTATTGGAAACTTCCGCGACTTGCAAACCGCCGTCCCGATCAGCAATTTTATCGGCTAATTCCGCAAGTTTAACAAGAGGAACATCCTCTACTACGGCTAAAGTCGTTTGAATTCTATGTGGTAAGCGTTGAAGCCAAATCATTTGCAAAACACTATCTGCTAAAGATCCTCCAGATAAATGACGAATTTCTCGAAGTAATTCCGAAGGCTTTTTATCATTAAGTTCAATTCCAGCTAATATTTGTCTCAAACGTTTTTCCTCTGAATCCGTAAAGCGATTTATTAATATTTTCTTTAAATAATTATATTTATCTGTTTCAGGTGGATTTTCAATGACTTCAGATATGTTTACTAAGGCTTGTTCATCAAGATGACGAATGACAGAACTATATTTAATATCATCTGATCGAATTCGATAAACCGTAAACTCACTTTCAATAGAAGCAAACCAGAGTTTAGGTTGTTTATGCCAGAAAGTCGGTAGTTTTAATAAACGAAACTCATTTGAGTGAATTTGTAACATAGGATCACTCACCTGATGTCCAGTTTGAGAAGGTAAAATATTAATATTTTCTGATCCAACCTGATTTGATCCGCTCGCCAAATCCATATCAATCTGTGTATCCGAACAGGGTCTAACTGGTGATCTATCGATTGGCATTTTCCTCTTGTTCCAGGAATCCGATAAAATGATTTGAGAATTTCCGTGAAGGACTAATCCGCCTCTGATGTTTCAAAGATCCGGAGAATGAATCTCTTAAAATCAGAATATCCAGCAATTCTTCCAAGCGATGATAATATTTCGCAGACTTCAAATACGACGATCACTTGGCACTTATTCCGCATCAGCCTTTAAAATGCGTCGGCTTTAATATCACGTCGGTTTTAATATCACGTCGGTTTTAATATCACGTCGGGGTCACCAAAAATGTAGCGACTTATAAATAAATTCACCAGATCTTTGAAAAAGTAATGTTTATTCATTGAAAGTATAAAGCGAAAGAACAAAAAGAATTAATATGTAACAAATAAATGAATGAATGTGTTGTTATGGAAATATTGATTTTTCTTAAAAACATTATGTATATTAATGAATTGAAGTTATTACAAATGTATAAAGATGTAAAAAGTGTAAAAGTGCAGTGAAAAGAGTAAGGTGTAATAAAAGTGTAGAGTGTAAATGAAAGGTGTAGATGATGAATGCTACAGGCTCATCAGCCGGAAGTCACCGATCACTTACTCGTAAAAAAAGATGACCTCAAGGTTCTCGGGCTTTCATGGCTTGCAAAAGAGGACGCGTTCAAATTTGTGATAACTCCGTTGAGATCGGTTACGCACACGAAACGTTCCGTTCTCTCGTTCACGGCAAAATTATACGACCTACTAGGATGGGCTGCTCCGGTTGTTGTAACCGCAAAAATCTTGCTACAAGAATTATGGCTTCTCAAATGTGATTGGAACTCCCCTCTTCCAGAGGAGTTGCGCGATCGTTGGGAGAGCTACACCAACGATTTAGAATCATTGAACCGCGTCCGAATACCGCGTTGGACCGGTCGACATTCCAATAACCTCGTGTTCGAAATCCACGGGTTTGCCGACGCTTCAAACCGCGCTTACGCGGCGGTCGTTTATATTCGAGTGCTTCCTTCGCCAACGAAGTTTCAAATCACTCTGCTCGCTGCTAAAACAAAGGTCGCGCCGATCAAAACCGTAAGCATCCCGCGCTTGGAACTGAACGCTATCGTCCTCCTCAGCCGGCTAATCAAGTGGACCTTGACATCGTTGAAATTACCTCCGATTCCAATATACAGATGGACGGATTCGACCATCGCTCTAGCGTGGCTCCGTCAACATCCATCAAAATGGAGCACCTACGTGGCTAACCGCGTATCCGAAGTGCATACCTGTCTGGATTCCGTTTGTTGGAATCACGTTCCGTCTCGAGATAATCCGGCGGACTGTGCCTCGCGCGGCTTGACCGCCTCCGAGCTCGTGACTCACCCGCTATGGTGGAACGGTCCACGATGGCTTCAGAAGCCATCGACTGCGTGGCCGATTCTGAATGTCTCAGCTCCGCTCGACTCTGCCACCGATCAGCAGGTGTCGGTGGAAAGAAGACGGCCTGTGATGCTCCATGTTCAAGAGGCCGAGGAATGGGAACTCCCATATAGGTTCTCCAGTTGGATCAAGCTTGTCCGCGTGACTGCCTATATGAATCGCTTTATTCTTCGTGTAAAAGAAAAGAGCGCGTCTCGTTCCCAACTCTCCCCCCTTCTGAACGCCGATGAGTTTAGGAGGGCGGAAATCTTCTGGTTGCGCTATCTGCAACAGAGATACTTCGAGCGGGAAACGCGCTCACTAAAGAATAACGGCATCATGCCGCATTCGAGCTCGTTGAGCAGATTGAGTCCTTTTCTAGGAGAGGACTCTTTACTCCGTCTTGGCGGGCGGTTGACGAATTCCGCGCTCAGCTATGACGAGCAACATCCTATAATAATTCCGAAACATCACTTATCCGATCTCTTAATTGATCGCGCTCATAAATCCACGCTCCACGGGGGGACAGAGCTAGTACTCCGTGTGCTGCGTCAGCGATACTGGCTCATTGGAGGCCGCAGCTCAGTAAAGGCGCACATTCGAAAATGTGTAGTCTGCACTCGTCACGCGGCTAAATTGTCTTCTCAGTTCATGGGCAACCTTCCAGCCGCTCGTGTCACCCCTTCGGCGCCTTTTACTCATTCTGGGGTTGATTACGCCGGCCTACTCCACGTAATTTCATTCGTCGGCAAAGGGCAAAAAGCCAAAAAGGTATATATTGCTCTGTTTGTTTGTCTTGCTACAAGGGCGATTCACCTCGAATTAGTGGAAGATTACTCCACGCCCGGCTTTCTTGCAGCCTATCAGAGGTTCGCTAGCCGAAGAGGTCTGCCGCGTCACATGTATAGCGACAACGGCACAAATTTTCATGGAGCCAACCACGAACTCCATCGACACTTTCAATCCTTATCGAAGGATGCTGAATTGCGAAACGCGCTCGCAGGCGACGGAGTGAACTGGCATTTCATTCCCTCCGCCGCTCCACATTTCGGCGGCCTTTGGGAGGCCGGAGTCAAGAGCCTTAAAACGCATCCGAGGCGCGCTGTTGGTTCCCACACACTTTCGAGGGCTGAACTCGCGACGCTTCTATGTAAAATAGAAGCGTGCCTTAACTCGCGACCAATCGTTCCGCTTAGTGACGACCCGGGTGACTTGTCGGCGCTCACCCCCGGTCACTTTCTGATTGGACGGCCCCTTGTAGCCGTTCCGGAGGAATCGGTACTCGCGATCGACCCGCGTAGGCTCTCGCGATGGCAACTAGTCCGTGCCATGCAGGAAACCGTGTGGCGTGCCTGGTCACAGGATTATTTACATTCGCTTCAACAGCGAAACAAGTGGTGCAAGCAGTCTCCTAACTTCGCAATAGGCGAATTAGTATTAGTTAAAAGTCCCGTGCTCCCTCCGAGCAAATGGGAGCTTGCCCGAGTACAGTAGATCCATCCCGGATCTGATGAACTCGTTCGAGTTGTGACCATACGCACCTCACGGTCCACATTGAAACGACCTATTGCGCAATTATGCCGACTGCCAATACGTGATAACTCTAACGAGTCCGCAACGGATGAAGCCGCTAACTTGTAAGAGTTATGTAATCTTCGAGACGACTTTCTCAGTACGAGTCGTCTTCACCTGTATGTTTTTTTTGTAATCATCTTCCTCGACGATTCGCTCCCGCTTCGTTTAAGTTTATTTCGCATTCGTTCGCATACGAGGCGGGCGGTATGTTGAAGATTCGTTCTTCGGAGCGAATCCTCGAGGACGATCGAATTTTCTAGAATGTTTTTTTTGTGAAATTCCTTAGTGTTTACGCCAACACGTGAAACCAACGTGTACACTCGCCGCTAATTGGCGTGTGTACATCGCCTGATTTTTGATGGTCCAATCGAGGACCCCGATCGGCTGCCGCCCTACGCGAGCTCCGAAATTCGCGCAGCCCTCGAGTCAGTCCTCGAGAGAGCGAGCGCCGAGAAACATAAGTCTCAGTACGCGACGAACTTTTAAAAAGTGAATAAACTAAGTTAAACCGATTCAAAACGCGTACAATCATTTGATCACGTTAACCCGGCATCCTACAACGTTAAATTTTATACAATATTCATACACACACATGTAAATAATAAGTAATTATATTGATAATTATATGTAACTCGATAATGAAAAAATATTATATAATATTTTTTTAAATATCGAGGATAAAATGGGCCCCTCTATCGCCCATTCCCATGAGAACGCAGCTACAAAATGTTTTTTTTTCGTCTATCTAATTATAGCAAACAAGACATTTGCATTGAAACGTCTTTTTGCAACGATATGTATTGGAATATAACAAATTATTAATTTGATAAATTTTTATTATTTAGGAAAAGGCGGAGAATTAGAGATGGCGGCAAGTGGGAAGAAGTGGTGTGAGAGTGCTCCGGAATTTGTAAAACAATAGAAAGGAAAAAGGAAGAGGATTTTGTGGGAAAGTGAGCAAAAGTAAAGAACTGAGGATGGGAAGAGGAGAGAAAAAGAAAAGGGAGAGAGTGATGGACAAGTGATGGAAAATGAGAGGAAAAGGAGGCAAGTGGAGGATGGGATAACACGAGGAGAATAACTCACACGGGAGGAAGAGATGGATAGAGGAAGGATAAGAAGGAAGGAAAAAAAAGGGGGAAAGGAGAAGAAGGAGCAGGAGGATTGGAGGAGCAAGGTAGATATGGAAAAAGATTTCCGGAAAAGATCTACAGAATTTTGGCAGTAGAACAGTTGTACACGTGGCAGGGAAATCCTGTCGATAAGACAGGGAGAAGGAGGGTAAGGAAGGAACCGGAAGAAGGACAGATGAGAGTAGAGGAAGGAGGGGGCGCAAGGAAGGACAGGAAAAGGGTGAGAGAGGAGGGGAGCGGCGCGTGCATTACCGGTAAGGCAGGCGGAAAAGCAAGAGAGTGGTGACATAGGGACATAGGCGCAATACCACAGGGATACGCACGCAGACAAGCGCATGGGGATATAGGGACTTAGGGAGAAAGCAGAAGGATCTGACGAGTAGGAGCAGGAGAGGAGAGGGTGTAAGAAAGTGCAGGAGAACACGTGAGAAGAGGAAGCGGCGCGCGCAATATCACACAAGATAGGTGCATAAGTGAGCACATGGTAAAACGAGGCAAAAGGCAGAAAGAGGTTACGAGGTCAAGAGAAGGCAAGTGGAGGAGAAGGGTTAAGACGAAAGGGCGAGGTAAGTGAAGGAAGGTAAAGGAGAGAGTGTGGAGGAAAAGGTGGAGAAGAGAGAAGAGGAGGAAGAGAAAGGAGAGGAAGGAAAGAGACGGGAAAAGGACAGAAAGGAGAGAAAGAGGTTAGGCGCGGAGAAAAGAGAGGTTAGGAGGAAGAGACGAGAGAACAGTAAAGAATAAGAAGAGGAGGAGATGAAGAAAGGCAAAGGGGGAAGTGAAAAGGCGAGAGGAGGAGAGGGGAACAGTGCATGCCGGTGCAAGGAGGAATAGGAGGAGATAAAGTGCAGAATAGACAGGAAGGAGGAATAGGAGGAGATAAAGTGCAGAATAGACAGGATGGAGGAGAAGATAGAGGAGCTGCTGAGATGGGTGAAAGGGAGAGAGAATAAGGAGAGTGAGAAGGAAGGAGATAGGGAGATTGGAAGAGAGGAGATAGGGGAGAAGAGGGAAAAGGAAAAACAGGAGGAGAAGGAAGAGGTTAAGGTGGAGAAGAAAAAAGAGGAACTGCAGGTGAGAGGAGAGAGAAGGAGAGGACAAAGTGAGGCAAAGGAGAGTGGAGGAGAGTGGTGGGAACTAGTAAAGAGGGAAGAGGTCGAGGAGCAGAGGGAAAGAGATGACCAGACAAAGGGACTAGAAAGAAAAATGAAGAGGAAGGGGAGACGGAAGGAAAGGTAGAGAGAGAAGAAGAAAAGGAGACAGGAGGAAAGAAGGAGGGAGAAGGGAAAGTCAGTGGAAAGGAAGAGAGAAGAGGAAGAGAGAAAGAGAGTAACGGGGTGGAAAGGAAGAAGAAGACGGAGGAAGAGGATAGGAAAAGTGAGTGTCACGTCCGAGTGACCTTTTCCTCCTCTATTACTCTAGGTCTAGGAAGAAAGGGTTAGCTCTCTATTTATTTAGGGTAATCTGCATGCACCGACTATACCCTGGGTGCGCCGAGAGCTGGATCTGACTTTTCGGATCTGGGGAATTTTAGGAATAGAGAATGTTTCGTAGGAATATATAATATCGTCTAGGAAAATTAATATTAATTCAAAATCGTATTTCCTATTTAAGATATAAGATATGAAATTAAAGTAAGTTATTAATAAAATAAAATAATAGTCTATTATCAAGGATTTGAACATTTAGAATAATCGGTAAATAATCGCGAGTTGAGATTATTAAAGATTTAGATACTTCGAATAGTCGTCGATTTCAAGGGGAGGTTCTATCGGTCCTGAGCTTATTAATTCTGGTAAAGAGACAGCAGGAAAATTATAGTTCTCGAAGGGTGGAAAATCTTGATAGGAATTCTTAGACGATTCTATTAATTCGTTGATTATATTATCAATCTCCTTAAGGGGGATTGGTGATAAAGGTTCTATTTTATGTTGAGAATTGTCAATTGATTCAGAACCTTGGGGTAAATCAGGAGAGATCACCTCTTGAGACTCAAGTAATTGTTTATCCCTGGATAATCTCTCTTGAGAATTTGAGAAAGTAGTTGCGATTGATCTATATTTCCTAATTATTGAAGGGCGTGTACGCTTCTTCTTACGTACAAGGTTGCGTTTCCGGCTGTCCATTTACAAGGATATGTTCATCCTTATAATATTAATTAATTAGTTATTAGGAAATTATAAATTAGATCGAGGATTAAAAAGGATTAATTCTTACTTGATTTCGCACGGAGATGAAGATCTGCTCTGTTGCTCCTGGTGACTATGCCTGGGCTGTAGTTCTCCTGGGGACCTCGGTCTCAGGATGGAGTTAGAAGAACAGACGTGCACTGATTTTATATTAATTTTAATTCTTTATTTCTGTATTTATGAACAATTTCTAAGTCTGTGACTTATAATCGTACAATTTAGAGTTTACGAATTTAAACTATCAGATGAGTTAGCTATAATGATAATTAACATAAGAATTCGCAGAAAAAATCTAAGTACTAAGTGACACGAAAACTAGATTAACCGTAATCGGCTAAATGTAGAATTTAGAATTTAGAAAATAGTAATACGAAATGATCTATTCTAGAAATTGACAAGAAATGAAGTGAGTGCAGGACGCCAAATCCGCGGTTTATATACCCTTAGGAGGACCAGGCGTGCTTAGATTTTGACATGTTTATGGTTCCGTAGGAATTTGGTTTGTGTCATCGAAAAGGGGGCGAAGAGTGGTCCATCAGCTAAGATGGTTCGTTGGCGCAGTATAATTACGATTCTTAATAAACGAATGGGAATTTTTACAATAGTTTCCGAATTGCTTATTTATAAATCGTTAATATTTATCATTAATAATTTATACTAAATGGTTAAATTGCGTGCCCTAGAAGCCATTACAAAATGTGGAGATTGTAATTTCTTGAATATTCATTATATTAAAAATTGAGAGGTTTTTATTGTTAAAATAAAAGAACGTGCAACGTTATTCTGTAAAGGATTCAAGGACTAGCTTTTGATAGTTTGAGTTGTAGCTTATAATGATAAAGATAATATTTCGCTTCCTAAATCTTTGGTTCGGCGTAAGGTGTTGGTTTCTTTCCTAAAGCTCAGGAATGCGGCAGGGGGTCATACGAGGTCAGGTTACAAGCCATCGTGTCGCCAAGTCGATCTCTACGAATACTTATGTCTAGCAGTACATTTAGTATTCCTTTGATCCTTTTACGCATATTGATCAGTCAATTATGGCATCCTTCAATTATAATATATGATATTTATAGTTAATTATGGCATACTTCATCAATAATATTTGGTATTTATAGTTAATAAAATAAATCAAAAATTATTTATGGATCCATAATTCATTAATACAATATTTGAAGGGTTACATATTCAAATGTGTACTCGGATAATTCTTAGTCGCACTTACAGAATCGTGTTTCGTTTCAGTATGAATTCTGAAAGGATTAGTGTTTCTCTTTTAGTTATCATATAAATTTGATGTGATTAGGATTCTGTAAATCTGACTAAAAAGGGTTGTTTCGGAATTAATAATACATCGCGTTGTATTGTAATTTACTTTAGGAGGGAGTGGGTTAACATTTTTAGTCCTTATATCTTGTGCTTGATTATATTAATATTTATCTTACTTATTATTTATAGTTTGGCGTTATTGTAATAAGTGTTTGATAAGTACTCCTGTAAAGAAATATCTGGTTAGTTCCGCTAGTTACATGCCGTCTCTGGGGTCCCTAGATGGTGCTTGATTGGTCGCGTGGTTAGGACTAGATAGAGATGTTTGGTTCCT